CCTGGTCGAGCAGGTGAAGTTATCCAAGTGCAAGGGGCCCCATCACGCTCGGCAAGCGCGCAGCGGCGGAGTCGGCGCGGCCAGCTTCAGCGGGGCCGCGGCGCTGCATATCCGCGCGGCATCTGGTCGCGCTTCACTTATGTTTCCAAAGCCGCTGCACGAAGAGTTCGAGGCGTTGGGCGACCGTGCCAAGCAGTGAATTTTCCTGGAACGGCGACGAGTTGGAGGAAGCAGCGCTGCTCAAACTAGGGCGCTGCTTGGTCGGCCCGCTGGAATCGCGGGCGCGAGCGCCATCGACGAGGAGCGAGACTTCTTGTGCGAGCCGACTTGCGCGGCGCAGCTCCCGGACTTCAGCGACGCGACGAAGGCGGCTTAGTGCTCATGGGCAGCGCGCGCGTGGCGGGGTCGAGCGGCAGCAGCGAGCATTGGGGGCGCTTGCCCGCGACGCGCGATCTCGCGCAGAATCGCGCCCGCAGCGGATCGTTCATGTCAACTTCTGCGGGGCCAACGCGAGGCAGTTGCAGCGCTGGCAACTCGTCGAGCGCGGTGGCCCGCGCATCGCCACCGCGCTGATTTATTTCCCCAGTCGCCCCGGCGCCACTCTCACCGCGCCGATGTCTGCAGCGGCCCTTCAGCAGAGACATGGGTCGCAGCGGCGCCAAGAGCGACGACCCGCGGGGCGCGGCGAAGCAGGTCGAAGATCGACTCAGCCGCGAAACGCGCCAGCGAACGGCGCGCGCAGCGTCGCGCTGCCAGTGCCAAGTGCACAAAGAGGAAGACGATATGGGGATTCCAGGCCGGAGAAGCTCGGCCTTCGCATGCGCTGCGCGACCTGGGGCCGCGGTCGCACCCCGTCCACGCGCTGGGTGGGACTTCGCGAAGGCCGAGCACCGGGAGTCGTTCAGGAAAAAGGCTTGCCGAGGAGCAGCCAGCGGGCGCGCGTCTATCCCCCGCGCGCGTTCCATTGTCACATGCGCAGGAGCTGAACATCCATCGGCGTCTCAGATGGAAGGGGTGCCTGATTGCTCTGCGCGAGTGCCATTATCGCCGCGGACCTCTACCGCGCGCAGCTAGGAGCTGGATGTCGCGCTCGCATCGAGCACCCATCTGCCTCGAGAGCGCAGCGCGCAGCTGTATTCGGCAGTTGCCCCGGCCTGGTCGCAGCCTTCGACCTGCGCGCGGGCGGGCTATATTTGCCGGCAGCGATCGATCGGCCAAGAAGCCGACTGCCACCAGAAGGGCCAAGAAGCTCATGGCGGCAGCCACGAGCGAGAGGCGCGTTGTCAGCCATCGACGCGAGGCGCCCGAAGGCAAGACGCGCGCCCGAGCCGCGTGGGATTGCCCCTGCGCGATGGCGCAGATCACGGTGGAAACGGAAACCGAGGAGAACTACAACGGAGAGGTCGCCGCCGTGAGCGCCTACGCTAGCGCCGACAGCAGCCGATCGTAGGAAAACCCGTGCGCGCCTTCAGCTTCGCGAGAGGCACGGCGCGGAAGCGCTGAGGTGCGTCGCGCTGCGCCACCGCAACATGGGACGTCCAAGCCGAACGGCGTTGCATCGACCAACTCCAACCAGGAGGCGCGTGGGAAAATGTCTGGACTGCGCGGCCGAATATCGATGCGAGCATTGCGCGAGGCCGCGGCAACCGCCGCAGCCATCTACAGCCGGAGCTAGGCAGCCCACCAAGTTTAACGAAAGTGGCCTGGTGGATGGAGTTGCCAGGTACTGTGCGCCACGGACAGGCAATGCCGTGACGGCTCGAGCAGGGCTTGATCAGGCAGTTCCAGCCACTGGGAGAGCTTCTCACCGACGGCTCAGGTTTCGCATCTGGGCGCTTCGCCCAGATTCTGGTGCAGAAAACATCGGCGTCGTGATCGCAGCGGACGAGGCGCTCTCGAGCCTGGGAGTTGTGGAGCGACGATATCAAGTCGTTCGAGAGGTGGTCGAGCTCTGTTGCGCGGATGCTACCTACCGCGGCGCTAACGCGATCATCGATGAGGGCCCGATCATCGAGGCCTGCATCTACGTGCCACGCCTAGTCAACTGCTTGGCTTTCACAAAGGGGCATTCGCCATCTTGGCGGGCTCTTGGCATGGGCCTTGTCGCGGCCATGACGCGTTCCAGCGACTCGTTCTCGCGGGCCACGCCCTACCAGTTGATGGATGGCGAGGACTTCAAGAACGGGTTATAAAATGGAGACCCAGGGCAGCTAACGACTTTATGAAGGCGAACGCGTCGGCCAAGCCACGGCGTGCTCTATTACGTCTACACTGGCCCCCAGGCGCGACCCCTCGATCGGCTGGCGGCGCCGCAACTGGCGCGACGGGGGGGCCAGCGAACTCATGGAGAACGAGTGGAAGGGCCGAGCTGTCGCGGTCTTCGCGGAGATGCGTCAAGATTAGAGCGGGCCCCAGATCTACTGGGTTGCGCGCGGCGAGCAGCTGCTACGCTGCACGCGGGAACGCGCGCGGCCACGCGGGCGCGATCTATTCGAACCTCACCCGAGCGAAGAGCGTGCTGGGAGCTATGCGAAGGACCGTCGTGACGCAGCCTCACAGCGTGAGTTCGCAGCAGACGCCGTTCGGCTCCCTGTGCGATTCGGACATGGGCGACGCTGACGGGGACGGCGAGCCACCGCCGAAGCGACCGCCAGGAACACCTGCGGCCTCGCCGGAGACTGGCAGCGACGGCCGCGCCACGGCCCCCGCGATTTCGGCAGCGCCCTCATCTGCTGCAGCGGCGGCGAGGGCATCCAGCGTGGAGCCGCCGACGACCGCAGTCGCAAGCGCGGTTAGCGCGGCAGCGGCGGCGCCGACGGCCAATCCCGACGCGGTCATGACGACGCCAGCAGCAGCCCACATACTAGCGCGGGAAAGCCGATCCGGAGATGATGCCGAGGACGCTTCCGACCAAAAAGGAGGACAGACGCTTCCGACTGAAAAGGGGGCCCGGCGGGCGCGATCAGCGGCGACGGCCATCGGGCGAGCCGCCTCTGCCGACGCCGGCCCCCGCTGCCAGCAACCAGCCGGCCCCGGCGCCGACGTCGCCGGCGCCCCCACCTCGAGCTCGTCGCGCCAGTCGAACGCGGCCCGATCGAGCGGAAACGGCGATTTTTCGACGCCCGGGTGGCGGAGTGCATCTAGGGCCCTAGTTATCACCGCCAGTAGAAGAAAGTGGGGGCGACGAGCTGGCCAGACTGCAGCTCGCGCGGGGCGACGAGGGCCCGCCCTTCGGATGGGAGTTCGACGGGCGCGCGGCCCATGCCAGCGACATTTGCGCCGATGTCAGCGCGAAGAACGCGGCGCTTCATGAGCGCGCGGCCGTGCTGCAAGCGAAGCGGCAAGAGTTGGCGGAGTTCTTCGGCCGCGACGTCTGGGAGTTCCAAGGGCCGATCGGGGGGGCCCGAGCAGGATATTCAAGGCGAGCTCCAGCGGAGCAAGAGCGGCGACGGCGCGCCGAGGGCAGAGGCAAGACTGTCATTGCAAGGGCTCAAGGGCCAGGGCGCTTATGAAGGGGAAGTACCTACAGCGTCACCTGCGGCGTCCAGGTAGGGGCGCCAGTCATTGTTTCAGGTGGCAGTTGCGAATGGCAGGGGGCTCTGGGCGGCAGACGCGGCCGCGGCCTTCTTGCGAGGGCGAGCCCAAGGGCGAGCGCATGGGAAAGGACCCGGATTCATAGATGAAGTTCAATGAGCCCATGCGCGGCCAGTCAGCGCGCCGAGGCGTTGGTGGTAGCGGCCAGTGAATGGCTTGAAGACCGGCGGCTTCATGCGGCGCCCCCTGGGCCCCTGCGTCTTTGCGATCTTCGATTAGGGCGGCAACTGCGACGGTCCGTTTTATTCTGCGCGGGCGAAATGTCCCTGGGGGTCCGTCGCCCAGGCTACTATTGCGCCGGAGTCAGCGCCCAGATCCAGAAGAGTCTCGAGTTCAGGACGCGGATCGAGGGCGACAATATGGCGCACTGCGAACCGGATCTCGACCTGATTCCGCACAGGAGCAACAATCGCTCCAACGACAAAGACCGAAGTCAAGGTGCACGCGTGCGCTCGCGTCCTCAAGCCTAGCGCGGTTGATCAGAAGGGCGGTGACAATGCTCGGGAAGCTAGCGTTGAAGGAGAAACGGCAGCAGGCTACGAGGCCTACTCGGAGCATTACAATGGCCAAACTCACAAGCATGCCCACATCACCAGCCTCAGTCAGCATTCATCAAGAGCAGTTACCCGTAGCGACCGCGAGTTCGGTGAAGGAAGTCAAGGAGGCGCTGCGTTTCTTCGAGCAGAGTTCAGACGCTGGCCCCAGGAGGTCGGATTGCCCAGCGAGATACTGCTAGCGGCGATGACAGATGCAGCCTGGGCAGTATGACATGACGGAGCAAGTCAAGGAGGCCGCGCGATGCTGGGCCCGTCGCGAGAAGGTGCTGCAAGGAGAAGATTCAACTTCAGCCTAGCCGACCGGACGTCGTTGAAATTGGCGGGTTTGACTAGATCCTCGCTGCGCGCAGAGTCCCACGCAGCCGAAGCAGGCGCGGGCGCCCTGGAGTTTGCCGGGCGTTTCTGGGCAGCCTTTATCTACGGCAGCGCGGGCGCGATACAGGTCCACAGCGCGCGGTGCGCCAGGAGTTCGGCGATTGTAATCGACGCAAAGGAATTCTACGACATGCTCAGAAGGAGAGCATCACCAGCTTCCAGGGCAAGAGGGCTGGCATCGAGGCACTGGTCCTGCGCGAATTGACGGGGGCCACCAATGCCCAGTGGTGGTGGGTATCATCGGAGTGGCGTGGACTGCCTGGCCAAGATCGCAGTTCGCCAGCCCTTGGCAGATTGACTTCGAGCGGGGCGCCTACACCTTCGCCGCGACCCAACATGCACGGCGGCCTAGGAGAACGCCAAGGAGGAGCGACTTGATATCGTCGACCAATCGAGAGCAGCGACATCATCGGCGACTTGGAAGGCAAGGTCGCCTCTGGTGCAGTTGGCAGCGCTTGCGACATATTGCTGCAGGCGCGCGGCCGGCAACGCCGCGGCCGACTTGATCCACCAGTGCAGATGCGAGTGCCAGTTCTACTACGACGACAAGACTGGCGGATGGATCTCGGGTGGAGTTCGAGGGTCATTACTGTTCATGACGGTAGACATGATTGTCGCCCTATCGTTCGCTTGCTACCTGCTGCAGGTGGAGATTTCAACTTGAGAGCTCAACATCAATAATATCGAGCCAGACATCGAGGCAGTTCCCAAATTTGACGTCGAGACGGACACGCAGCACGCGTCCCATGAGAGAGCTGCCTGTTCCAGCGAGATTTACCACTGGACGGTAGGATCGCCGAGCATGGTGACCTACGGGCTCTTCGGTGACCAGTCGAGGTTCGCACATCAGACCCAGGGCTTCAAGCGGGCCAGAGAGGTCACGACGAGTGGAGATTGCGAGACAAGGAAGGTCCATGAGGCTGATCTCGGTTACGTAGACATCCCCGCGCGAATTCAACCTAAAGCTTGCTTGATTTTCATAGCTCATGATGTTCTCGATAAGTTACACTGTTCCTTCTCCTTGCACGGGTGTGAAATCTACGCTATACGTGTGTTTGCACATCGCGCGTTGTTTGCGCGAGGATTGTGTATGGAGAGAGGTTACGTTGCCGTGCTGTCCGAAACCTTACGGGGCCCCAGATTGACCGCGAACGAGGTGTAGAAGTGATGGTGGCAATTCTTTCCTATATTGCTGTTATCCAAATCAGTCAGAAACTTCGAGGGTTTTGGCAACTTCGTAGGAGGAGAACGCAAGGTAGGAGTGAGGAACGGTGGGGATGAGGAGAAGCGAGAAGAAAATGGGAGGAGGAACGATGAATGAAGAGCGAGGGGTAGGTGAAGGAGAATGGGCGGGGAGGAGCAGGGGGAGGAGACGGGGGGGGGAGGGTAAGGATGAAGAGCAGGAGGAAGAATATGAAAAGGAGGTGGAGGAGGAGGAGGAGGAGGAGGAGGAGGAGGAGGGGGAGGGGGAGGGGGAGGGTAAGGGAGTGAGGGGGCGGCGAGAAGCGAAGCGGAAGCGCAGCGCGCAAGGAGCGAGCGAACGCGGAGCGACGGCACCTGCAGGGGCGTCGCCCCACCGGGCCGTCCCCCTTCGACCAGCCCGCTTGGGCCCCGCGCTTCGGGGCTTCGGGGGCTTTTTCGGCGACGACGCCGCCGACGACGGCGACGCCGACGCCGCCGACGCCGACGCCGATTTCGCCGCCGCCGCCGCTGACGACGACGACGACGACGACGACGACGACGACGACGACGACGACGACGACGACGACGACGACGACGACGACGACGACGACGACGACGACGACTTCGGCGACGACGACGACGGAGGACGACTACGACGACGGAAGACGATGACGACGATGACGACGACGACGACGACGACGACGACGACGACGACGACGACGAC